GATCAGCGCCATGTTTTCAAACGTCAGTACACTATGAGCTAGTGTCACTGAGTGGGTTATTAAATGGCTGTTACAATGCTGCTGCTACAGAAGGCCACGTGGTCACCTGTCACCGGGGCTCAGGTGGACCAGGCATCTAAGGCACTGTATCAGAAGGCCACGTGGTCACCTGTCACCGGGGCTCAAGTGGACCAGGCATCTAAGGTGAGGAAAAATTGGGTTTAACGTCGTGCCTCGAGAATATATCGTTCCTATGACGACGTGCATGCGTTCATGTGTATGTGCGGCTGCTTGTACTAGCCCAGACTTAGGCTGGTTTTATAGTGCTAGCCCACTGAGATACCATGTCGCAGTGAAGCATGAATACCCCACTCAGATACATTATACTGACTCCGAGCCGACCAGTCCTTGTTGTACCCATTAATTCCGAGCGCCATATTTTAACGTCTTTGGTATGACGCGGTCGAGGATCGAACCCGCGACCTTCCGCTCTCCGGGCGGACGCAGGCATCTAAGGCGCTGTAACGGAAGGTCACGTGGTCACCTGTCACCGGGGCTCAGGTGGACCAGGCATCTAAGGCACTGTATCAGAAGGTTACATGGTCACCTGACACCGGGACTCAGGTGGACCAGGCACCAAGGCGCTGTATCAGAAGGTTACATGGTCACCTGACACCGGGACTCATGTGGACCAGGCACCAAGGCGCTGTCTCAGAAGGTTACATGGTCACCTGACACCGGGACTCAGGTGGACCAGGCACCAAGGCGCTGTATCAGAAGGTTACATGGTCACCTGACACCGGGCCAGGCACCAAGGCGCTGTATCAGAAGGTTACATGGTCACCTGACACCGGGACTCAGGTGGACCAGGCACCAAGGCGCTGTATCAGAAGGTTACATGGTCACCTGACACCGGGACTCATGTGGACCAGGCACCAAAGCGCTGTATCAGAAGGTTACATGGTCACCTGACACCGAGATTCAGGAGGACCAGGCACCAAGGCGCTGTATCAGAAGGTTACATGGTCACCTGACACCGAGATTCAGGAGGACCAGGCACCAAGGCGCTGTATCAGAAGGTTACATGGTCACCTGACACCGAGATTCAGGAGGACCAGGCACCAAAGCGCTGTATCAGAATGTTACGTGGTCACCTGACACCGGGACTCAGGTGGACCAGGCACCAAGGCGCTGTATCAGAAGGTTTCATGGTCACCTGACACCGAGATTCAGGAGGACCAGGCACCAAGGCGCTGTATCAGAATGTTACGTGGTCACCTGACACCGGGACTCAGGTGGACCAGGCACCAAGGCGCTGTATCAGAATGTTATAACGTGGTCACCTGACACCGGGACTCAGGTGGACCAGGCACCAAGGCACTGTAACAGAAGGTTACATGGCCGCCTGTCAACGGGACTCAGGTTGACCAGGCATGTAAGGCACTGTATCAGAAGGCCACGTGGTCACCTGAAACCAAGGCGTCCCAATTCACTGGATACCTTTGGTTCTGGTTTCGAATCCAGGTTAATCTACAATTATGTTTATGGATTTTTGCAACACCAAGCAAAACTGTATCACTGTACCTTTCCTCCCACAAGCCGTGATATAAGGAAAACATTGTTCAAACCAGGACGTGACCTATCATACTCACTCACCTGATCTCGGAAGTAGAAGCCCAGTATGACGACAGAGCCGGTGTAGACCAAGCCCTCCCCAAAACCTGGAACACAGACAATGGGTCACCCCGTTACCGTCTGTCACCCGTGGAGAGTCGGGGTATATGTCCCCAGTTGGTTGGTTGGTTGTTTAACGCCGCACTCAGCAATATTCCAGCTATATGGCGGCGGTCTCTAAATAATCGCTCTGTACCAGACAATCCAGTGATCAACAGCATGAGCATCGATCTACGCAATTGGGACACGATGACATGTGTCAACCAAGTCAGCGAGCCTGACCACCTGAAGACCAACTCGGATCTTCACGGGTCTACGTTCCAGCTACACGTAATTAGCGGCTGAATAACTGAGGCATGGCTTGTCTGATTGCAAGACACCGTAACGCAGTTGCGTGGATCAAGCCCCATGATCACAAATTGAAAACACAGAGTTCACGAAATTCTTTCCGAGAGCCGCGATGCAGTCCTATACAGTCAAGAGTCTCGGCTAATGAAATTCATGACCGAAGCCCAACAAATACATGTGATCACTCTGGTGGCTAGCAAAATGTGTCATTGCAGCATCCAGTTTATTCGAGCTAATCAGTATCATTTAGTTCGTGATCGAGAGAAGTAACTTCCAGGTTCCAAGACGGCAAGTGACCCTCGCTGTATCGCGCGTAAATACTCTGTAGTCTGGATCTAACTTCTAAGTTCTTCAGTCCGGAGATCAACGGCTATCCGTCCACCTACATGACCACCGAACGTTCCCGATAGTGGCATTTGTTCATGAAAATTGGTTCTTTTTCAAGGTTAAAAACACCCCACCCAAACTGCATATTTATTTTCGTCTTCCTTTTTGATAGTGGCAACAGCAAAGCTCTAAGCATTCCTTGTGTTATAAATAATATATATTTACATCGAGGAATGCTATATGTATAGAATATACAATGATGACCTTAATTTTGCAAGTGTAAGCGATTTTTAAAAAACTGGGTTTATCGAAATTGGTTATTCATAATTTATGGCTAGGAGGGGGGTTGATGACGTTTATGGAGTAACGTACAATGTGAATAACCCCCATTAAGATATATGTACAAAATACCCCTCTTCATTTCATGCACAAAATCAATGACACCCCCAGTACATGTAAACCTACAAAATCGATGACCCCCACTGCCTCCCCAAATCAAAATGAATAACCCGTACATAAATTATTTTCCAGATTGTATTTATCTAATAAATACATACTAAATTTTAAAACTTGATTAATTCAAATCAGTTGAGTATTGTTCTCCTGTGATCTAGTGAGACCAGACCTCCATTAATGTTTTAAAAGACAGCCAATGTTTGTTTATATAAGAAACAGATGTCTTGTCAAGCCATTCGATGTTTATGTCATTGTTTTATTCAGAGGCCACGGCACTGGGATAGACCTTGGATACAGATGAAGATCTCTTGAGAATATTTCTTCCGCCTCTTCATTTGATGACTGAAAGTATAAGGGTCCCCTGCCACTTTGTCCAAGTTCTGATTTGTAATTTAAGAAATTGATCAAGGTCATCTAAACCAGAATGATCTTTTGTTCATTTTGTTGCTGTCATAATCAAAGTTTTTACTGATAAAAAAAATGGATTGTAGACCATCAGATGCAGAGACTATTTTGCTGTTCACGCTCCTGCCCTAAATGTTATATTTGTGGGGTACAAGTATGTAAATGATTCACATCATTGTGTTGGGCTTGTTAGCAGGGTCTGTTGTCTCATGGTTATTAATTTGAAAATCAACTAGTTTTTTATGTTTTTTCGAACCATTTGTGATAGATTTGATAATTGTTTTGAAATATGCAGAGTATATTAACAAACTGTATTCAGAAACACTTTTCTTGAGCCCACATCAAGCTGTCCAGAGGACCGTCCAACAAACACAGAGATAGAGAGTGCATGTACATGAGTTCCTATTTCATGGATACAGCCCAAAGTGAATTCAACTTGAAGAATGTATTGCTTGCCATGTGAGAGCGTTGTTAGATTTGTACACACATTTCCGGCGAGAGGTGTCGAAGAATAAAACAGACTTTGATCCAACGTTGGCCCGACGGTCACAATAAACTTGGGCCAACGTCAGAAGGCTGTTTGGGAAGATTGACTGGTCCAGATTATTTATAGAACACAGTCATTTAGCTGGAATTTTGCTGTGAAGCGTTAAAAATTCAAAATATATTACATGCTGTTGATACCATTACTTAACCAGTTTGGGTTTGGTTTGTTCCCAAATGCCGGATTGAACAATGTTCCAGTTTTATGACGCCAGCTGATGACAGAGTCTGTTCTGTGGTTCAGACATAGATATAAATAATCCAACAATCGTCATTGTGCCCAACAGGGTAACATGATGTAAATAGTCCAACAATCGTCTTTGTGCTCAACAGGGTAACATGATGTAAATAGTCCAACAATCGTCATTGTGCTCAACAGGGTAACATGATGTAAATAATCCAACAATCCTCATTGTGCTCAATAGGGTAACATGATGTAAATAATCCAACAATCGCCATTGTGCTCAATAGGGTAACATGATGTAAATAATCCAACAATCGTCATGTCAACAAAAGTCCATCTCATGACATTATGAGGTCACCTTGTCGTCACCTTGTCGTCAGCGAAATGTAATAATAATCATACATGGATGAGGTGTTTCCACTTCTACACCAACGGGGGCCGTGAAATTAATGATCGTTTCAGAAACGTATAGATGTTGACTTTCATCCCCCATGGACTGAAAGTGACCAGATTAAAACTAATATCTCTATATTTATGTGTACTTATCTTAGTATAATCAGTCTCTTTATGTTTGAAGCCCTCAGTCAAACTGTCACATAAACCGACACAATGTTTCCGTCAATGTATTAGATGAGTAAAATAATTATTTTTATGTAAATTGCAGACTGTAAATGAATCTTCTGTAACCATTAACATTTCCAGGGGTTTTGGAGATCCAATCACATGTCACCGCATTACTTAATGATCGTAAAGTAAAATGACAGCTGCCTAACTAGCTGTTTATGTTTTTTGTTTATAAGGTTGCCAATTGACTTTTTTCAGATATATCCATGTTCAGATTAATGAAGGCTGACGGGAGTCAACCTCTTTGGTCATGTGGACAAGGCGTCCGACTCCGGATCAGAAGGTCCGTGGTTCAATTCCCAGCATGGGACTCGGAAATTTTAGGGCAGCAATATTACCGCTCAGTCATTTGTTATTATCTTTTCACATTTTGATAAAGATCTATATCTAAATTAAAGACAACCACTACCACGCGCTCAGCTATCATCATTGTCCTTACCCACAAGAATAGCGTAGGTCAGGAAGAGCCATCTCATGTCAGTGACAAAAACACTACAGGCAAACCCCACCAGCTGCAAGACGCCACCCAGCATGACACAAGTTCGACAGCTGAACATGTTGATCACCAAACTGGCGATAGGACCTGGAACAGAGTGAAAATAAATGATATATCATGGAAATATTAAATGTGCAGGTTTGGTTTCAGCATCATATTCAGCCATACTGCAGCTGATGAGACAATCTTGTAAATCACCGAGTTATTACAGCAAACTAGTGGTTGATAGTATGAGCGTCGTTCTGTGAAGCTGGTGTACTCGACGGAAGCCATGTCACGCATGTTGTGTCAGTTGTTGATTTACTAGTTGAAACTAAAAGTTAACCGGGTATCAGTCCATAAGAGAACAAAGAAAAAAGTAATATGATATAATTGATAACTGTATTCTAAAATTAACTAAGTTTACAAATTACTGCAAATCACTTTTAAGGTACATTACAGCGTCAGTACAAATTCATGATGTTTAGAACAAGTGTGATCCAACACTCTCATTGCTGGTGTGGTTTCAAACAACAACTGGACAAACAAACCTGTGAGAGCGAACATGCTGGCGAAGAGCGACCCCAGCCACGCCGTGACGGTCACATCCTCGTGGTAGTAGTCCAGCATGGCGACGTGGACGACACCGGCACAGTAGGACACTGTAGAACCAATCAGTAGGGCGAAGAATGACGCCATCATCACCACCCACTTCCACCACGGCGGACTGTATGTAGTGGTTTCCATGGCAACCCAATAATGACCTGGTCAGTAGTCTGAAATAATGTAAAATATAGAAACGACATAGGGAAGTAAACGGTTGTCTTTTTTTGTTAGTTAACATATATTCCAGTGACGTGACAAAATGGTCATCTGTAAGGGAGCAACGTTTCCAGCCACGTGATGAGCTGAACACGTGACTCAGAAACAGCAACACGTGACTCGGTAATAGTAAAAGGCATATGACCCATACATCGCCACCACAGTCATCATAGAGTTAACAATTATATAGTGTTGATAACACCAGGTGTTCGAGAAACGGTAAACTCCTCCCTCCCACAGTTGACACCAACACAGACACGTGCTATGACAGGTTATCTGAACAAAGTATCTACATCCGACATTTTGTTTGTCATCTGTGCCGCAAGTTGTGAAATGCCCTCTGCACGTTTACTCTGCACGTTTACCATAGAGCATTCTGACCACCATGTAACATGTAACTGACCACCATGTAACATGTAACTGACCACCATGTAACATGTAACTGACCACCATGTAACATGTAACTGACCACCATGTAACATAAACACTGCAGTGGCCTGCAGCAGACAACCTGCGAGTACGTCGTACGTCGTGATGTTTGGGATCTGTATAGTACGAGCTTCATTGTACGTCAGAAGGTTGGACTTGCTGAAAGTCATCCTTTTCTATATGAAGATAGTACTTTTGTTACTACTACCCGTGAAAGTCCGGGTTAGAATATTGATCTTCAGTAACCCATGCTTGTCGTAAGAAGCGACAAACGTGATCGGGTGGTCAGGCTCGCTGACTTGGTTGACACATGTCATCGGTTCCCAATTGCGCAGATCGATGCTCATGCTGTTGATCACTGGATTGTCTGGTCAAGAGTCGATTATTTACAGACCGCCGCCATATAGCTGGAATATTGCTGAGTGCGGCGTACAACTAAACTCACTCACTCACTGTGAGCACGTATAGAGAAAGATGATGTTTTTTCAGATTCTAAAAGGGAAAGGCGTTAGCTGATATCAAAGTAAATAATAAAAAGTAAATGGATATTTCAAAATGCTTCATTAATTTTTGTATGGACCATCAAGTCGAAAATGCGTTATTTCAGGATTTAGATAGAATTCCGCCTTGTTCAAAGTTCACTAGACTGAAAAAGGGATGTATATTTGCTGACAAGGGTCGTGACTGAATGTTAATATCATAGATACTTACCTTGACTTGCACAAGTCTCTAGGGTAATAATTGATAGTTTATATGATAATTTCTAAAAAGTAAAAACAACAGACTGTCGTCCGCATATCCTGATTTACCTCTGTAGGAGAAGGAATTACCATACATCCAAGGGCTTAGCATTAAGTACAGCCTTGGAGCTAGGCTAACACACACCAGGCACTGGTCGATTTCTGACGTACAAGACAAGCTGTTGTATAAATGTGACACATATTGTTGGATAACTTATCAAATACCTAACAACAACAGTTTTAAATACAGCTCCAAATGACTCACGTTGTAAATGGACCCGACATTAGAGACTAGTTTAGACACAGCAGCAGTTGGTATCGCCCTGATTTTCACTGATCCATCAGTAAAATTGACATCAATATGTTGCCATCTGACTTTCAAATCTGTTTCGCGGTTCTCAAGATCCACTTAGATCCTACCTAGGATAAATACATTATCTTACATGTGTACTTGTATCCTACATTGGATCAATACATTCTTACAGGTGTACTTGTATCCTACCTTGGATCAATACATTCTTACAGGTGTACTTGTATCCTACATTGGATCAATACATTCTTACAGGTGTACTTGTATCCTACCTTGGATCAATACATTCTTACAGGTGTACTTGTATCCTACATTGGAACAACACATTCTTACAGCCGTACTTGTATCCTACCTTGGATCAATACATTCTTACAGGTGTACTTGTATCCTACCTTGGATTAATACATTCTTACAGGTGTACTTGTATACTACCTTGGATTAATACATTGTCGTACAGGTATACTTGTATCCTACCTTGGATCAATACATTCTTACAGGTGTACTTGTATCCTACGTTGGATCAATACATTCTTACAGGTGTACTTGTATCCTACATTGGATCAATACATTCTTACAGGTGTACTTGTATCCTACATTGGATCAATACATTCTTACAGGTGTACTTGTATCCTACATTGGATTAATACATTGTCGTACAGGTATACTTGTATCCTACCTTGGATCAATACATTATCTTACATGTGTACTTGAATCCTACATTGGATCAATACATTCTTACAGGTGTACTTGTATCCTACCTTGGATCAATACATTCTTACAGATGTACTTGTATCCTACATTGGATTGATACATTCTTACAGGTGTACTTGTATCCTACCTTGGATTAATACATTCTTACAGGTGAACTTGTATCCTACCTTGGATTAATACATTGTCGTACAGGTGTACTTGTATCCTACCTTGGATCAATACATTCTTACAGGTGTACTTGTATCCTACATTGGATCAATACATTCTTACAGGTATACTTGTATCCTACATTGGATCAATACATTCTTACAGGTGTACTTGTATCCTACCTTGGATCAATACATTCTTACAGGTGTACTTGTATCCTACCTTGGATTAATACATTCTTACAGGTGTACTTGTATCCTACCTTGGATTAATACATTGTCGTACAGGTGTACTTGTATCCTACCTTGGATCAATACATTCTTACAGGTGTACTTGTATCCTACCTTGGATCAATACATTCTTACATGTGTACTTGTATCCTACCTTGGATCAATACATTCTTACAGGTGTACTTGTATCCTACATTGGATCAATACATTCTTACATGTGTACTTGTATCCTACATTGGATCAATAAATTCTTACAGGTGTACTTGTATCCTACATTGGATCAATACATTCTTACAGGTGTACTTGTATCCTACCTTGGATCAATACATTCTTACATGTGTACTTGTATCCTACATTGGATCAATACATTCTTACAGGTGTACTTGTATCCTACATTGGATCAATAAATTCTTACATGTGTACTTGTATCCTACCTTGGATCAATACATTCTTACATGTGTACTTGTATCCTACCTTGGATCAATACATCCTTACATATGTACTTGTATCCTACCTTGGATCAATACATTCTTACAGGTGTACTTGTATCCTACATTGGATCAATACATTCTTACATGTGTACTTGTATCCTACATTGGATCAATACATTATCTTACATGTGTACTTGTATCCTACATTGGATCAATACATTATCTTACATGTGTACTTGTATCCTACATTGGATCAATACATTATCTTACATGTGTACTTGTATCCTACATTGGATCAATACATTATCTTACATGTGTACCTGTATCCTACATTGGATCAATACATTCTTACATGTGTACTTGTATCCTACCTTGGATCAATACATTCTTACAGGTGTACTTGTATCCTACATTGGATCAATACATTCTTACATGTATACTAGTATCCTACCTTGGATCAATACATTCTTACAGGTGTACTTGTATCCTACCTTGGATCAATACATTCTTACAGGTGTACTTGTATCCTACCTTGGATTAATACATTCTTACAGGTGTACTTGTATCCTACCTTGGATTAATACATTGTCGTACAGGTGTACTTGTATCCTACCTTGGATCAATACATTCTTACAGGTATACTTGTACCCTACATTGGATCAATACATTCTTACAGGTGTACTTGTATCCTACCTTGGATCAATACATTCTTACAGGTGTACTTGTATCCTACCTTGGATTAATACATTCTTACAGGTGTACTTGTATCCTACCTTGGATTAATACATTGTCGTACAGGTGTACTTGTATCCTACCTTGGAAAAATACATTCTTACAGGTGTACTTGTATACTACCTTGGATCAATACATTCTTACAGGTGTACTTGTATCCTACATTGGATCAATACATTCTTACAGGTGTACTTGTATCCTACATTGGATCAATACATTCTTACAGGTGTACTTGTATCCTACATTAGATTAATACATTCTTACAGGTGTACTTGTATCCTACCTTGGATCAATACATTCTTACAGGTGTACTTGTATCCTACCTTGGATCAATACATTCTTGCATGTGTACTTGTATCCTACCTTGGATTAATACATTCTTACATGTGTACTTGTATCCTACATTGGATCAATACATTCTTACAGGTGTACTTGTATCCTACATTGGATCAATACATTCTTACAGGTGTACTTGTATCCTACATTGGATCAATACATTCTTACAGGTGTACTTGTATCCTACCTGGATCAATACATTCTTACAGGTGTACTTGTATCCTACCTTGGATCAATACATTCTTACATGTGTACTTGTATCCTACCTTGGATCAATACATTCTGACATGTGTACTTGTATCCTACCTTGGATCAATACATTCTTACAGGTGTACTTGTATCCTACCTTGGATTAATACATTCTCACAGGTGTACTTGTATCCAACCTTGGATTAATACATTGTCGTACAGGTGTACTTGTATCCTACCTTGGATCAATACATTCTTACAGGTGTACTTGTATCCTACATTGGATCAATACATTCTTACAGGTATACTTGTATCCTACATTGGATCAATACATTCTTACAGGTGTACTTGTATCCTACCTTGGATCAATACATTCTTACAGGTGTACTTGTATCCTACCTTGGATCAATACATTCTTACAGGTATACTTGTATCCTACCTTGGATCAATACATTCTTACAGGTGTACTTGTATCCTACATTGGATCAATACATTCTTACAGGTGTACTTGTATCCTACCTTGGATCAATACATTCTTACAGGTGTACTTGTATCCTACCTTGGATCAATACATTCTTACAGGTGTACTTGTATCCTACCTTTGATTAATACATTCTCACAGGTGTACTTGTATCCTACCTTGGATTAATACATTGTCGTACAGGTGTACTTGTATCCTACCTTGGATCAATACATTCT